TGCGGCTCTATGCCATCGAGGCGATCCTGCGGCTCTTCATCTTGCGTTTTGCGCGAACAGAAGCTCTGCACTTCTCTTATTTCCATCGTGTGTTTAATTATTGTAATTATTATTTCTACAACCAATTTACAATCAGCTAGTTTCGTCCGTATTGCGAGGCGAGACGCAGAGCGCAAGATACGAGGCTGCGAGGTCGCTTTCATGGGATAGTAAGGCAATATTCGCTATAATCCCGAAAGTAGTTAAAGCAACGCGACGTTTAAAGTTTAAACGAACGTTGCATTGCTACTCTTCAAGCAATCTTCGAATCGCTCTCGAAACGAGTGAATGACGATGAGAAAGAGAGAGAGAGAGAGAGAGAGAGAGAGAGAGAGAAGATAGAGAGAGAAAGGGTAGACAGAGAAAAAGAGTGAAAAAGAGGGAAGAGAGGAAGAGAAGCTCGAGACAGTCGATCCGAGCGATTCGATTCTTCCGATACTCATGAACGATAAGCATCGACGGCTACGAATGTTTTGTCACACCATGCGCTAAATGTATAAAAGATATCTATACTATCGGGACACAGCAAACACTGAAAATATTGGTTTGGTGGGTAAGGACGGAGGGGGGTCCATATCACAGAGACAGACAGATAGAGAGAAAGAGAGAAAGATAAAGAGGCGGAGAGAGTAAAAAAGAGAGATACAAGTTGTAGGAAAACTGCACATTTTATTTCCGTCGAACGTTTTCGTGCGATGCCGAATTGTCGGCTCGAAAACAGACGAATCTTTGGAGAAGGGAGAGACAGGTAAAGACGCGCGAGCTCGCGAAAAAAAGAGGTAGAGAAAAAATGAAAAAGAAAGAGAGACAGAGATAGAGATAGAAAGAAAGTAAAAGAGAGAGAGAGAGAGAGAGAGAGAGAGCCATCATCATATTCGTATGCATTTTTTTTACTCCCCCGCGGAGGAAAGCTCCTTCGTGCTTAGCGAAGAAGATGGCAAGAGAGGCACGATGGTGTTTCACACGTGACCGAGAGGAGAAATGAAGAATGTTGGCATTTCCCGGGTATAGAGATGAGCGACGTCGGCTTCTGCGGGACGTTCGCTAATGGATCTCCACATCTGCGCGTAGCGGCGATCCTTGTGTTGAAAGTTAAAAATTGACAGTTCGTGTCGCGACTGACTTCGCGGCTCGATCGCGGCAGCGAAATGCGATTAAAGGCACAGATCGAAGCGAAGAATTAATTTCGTCATAGGGAGAAGAATGATTTCAGTTTGTTGAAGTTGGAGGGAAAACGCGTTTCCTGCAGGAAGTTAAATGTCTTGTCTCTCATCTAGATCACAATTAGTCCCCAATATCAATCGTTTGTCACACGATGATAAAGCTGTCTGTTAGCTGATACTTGTCTGGGACAGGTAATATCATTAAGCACTAGTATTTTCACCAATGCAAATTGTGACGTGCTAGTATTACTTAAGTAGCAGAAATTGTAAGAGTATATAGCACCCCGTTATTTTTCTTTTAAGTGTTACGACAACTATTGGCACTCGTGAAATTATTTGTATTGATATACTTCGGTGCTGCCCGGTCGTGTCGGATTTTATTTCTGACCGGTGATGAGTCATTTCTTTGTCAATGTTGAGATACGCGTCACGGCGCGAGTGACAGGTTTCTCAAGATACGTATCGTACAAGTATATACTGTTGTACGACGTATGAAAAGGCCAAGGCGATCATTTGGTGTTTTGACGAGAAAGTTTACATTAGATTTCGTACTGTCAATGATCGACGGTGATGACGGAACAAGCGAGCGGTAGCCGAGGAAGGTAAATGGATTTGCGGATTTGTTTCTGATTAAAACGACCGAAGACAGCAGAAGGCTTTCGCAATACTTGATAATAATCTTTCAAATTTCTTCAAATTATTGTTTAGAGAAAAATGCGTAATTTTAAATTCGTATCGCACAATTTTGAAGCTGCCTTTTTATTAGAAGAAGATTCAACTTTCATTTTTGAACTTTTTTAATTATCAATATTGGTGAACGCGATAATAATGGAACTCGACAAAATTTTGCAACTGCGCATTATCTATTTATTCGCTATGTAGGTAGATTGTATGTAGATTTGCAAGCAGACAAATTTTTACATTGCACGTATTTTTTCAGTGAAATTATTTAGAATCAACATTAGAGTTGAATTTCAGAATCTCGTCAGAATTTTCAATGTCAACGCAGCACGTTGGAAACGTAAGTGTTGCAAAACTTTGAGAGGTGTTAACAATATGGCTATTCATATTATTGAATAATTAATAAATTTCTCGTTATTATTTTCGTGTAGCTCAGGTATGCCAATTTCTCGTAATAAATATATTTCCGCCGATTAGATAACCACCTGGTCTGTCTAACTGTGCCATCGTTGTTCTACTTATGGCTTTGAAACTACAGATGAAATATTATTTTAAATTTGTTTCATCCATAATTAATCAGATTTTAGTTTATAGTAATAGTTATTTTAAAAAATATATTTTTTCAATATGTTGCTACTTGGATAATCGACTGATAACAATGTAATCAAGCGAATCAAGTTCAACAATATTAAAGATTGCCGGAAATGTTATTTGAATAAAATCAAATTGTAAATTCAATTCATTTATATTTAATTGTCGATGATAACTGATTATTCCTGGCAACAGTGGAGTTTACGCGTATTAAAATTTCATCGCGATTGTCTGATATTTTAATGAGAATAATACGCTAGGACAAGATCCGTGTATTTCCAGAATTATTGCACGTGCGATGACACACGTCCAAAATTCAATTAATAATCAAGCACAGTCAGACAGACGTTGTACATATAATGACGCCTATACTTTCAATGGTCACGCGCATCATAGCGATTTAATGCATGTGTATCGATGTCACTTGATTCGGCGCGTCACAAAAGGTTGTGCGCGTTAGAACAAACAGTATTGTACGTATATACAATAGATGTGACGTATGGCGCATAATGACGTATGTATACGCATATGTATACGCAAGAAAGAGAGGCGAGAGATATAATCTCACGTATAATGTTGATGATTATAGACATATTTATATATTATGTACCAGAACAAAACTCTATATCACTCGTTGCATGCGCTTGTTAGCATAATGAGGATACGGGGAGGGGGGAGGGGGCGGGGTAAGCGGTGGTCGGATAGTAGTACACGTCTCTTTGCAAAATACCATACCGGCTTACTTATGTGGGACAAGAAAGATCTACGAAGCGTGGAAAGTGGTCTCATCGACACTCTACTTTGTTGACAGGTGGCAGATTTGTAATACTGCCGCCGTGTAAGACAGTGTTCGGTGAGATGAGTTCGCAGAGGTGAACAAGAAGCTGCGATGGGCACAATCGTTTGTCCGCTTGCATTACATGTTGCATAATGTCTTTGCAGATCGAGCTCTTATTATTGAATGCGTTTACACGCTTTCTTACATTATATTTTGTATAAAAAGTAATGAGAGAAAATTGACTTATTAGAAATTGTTTCTCTTTTCAATAATTATTATATATTTTTTACAAGAAACTTTAGTAATAGTTATATACGTTTGTAAAAATGTGGAAGTTCCAGAAGAAATGCCTCATTTTCCAGAAAAGGATTTCTTTTTAATTTTTTAAATTAAATTAAATTAAATTTGCGCACAATGAAATGTGCGCATAATACATTAAAAGTTAATTTATATAAATATGAATGGGTTAGACAAAGTAAAAACTTTCGCGATATTACGTTATAACGAAAAAATTAGATAGTTGTTTAAAATATTATAAAACTAATAATTTCTTATCACAGAATGAGATAGAAGAATAGATATAATGTATATTATAATATTTGTATCTTAAGAATGCCAAGGAATTATTTGCCATAATTCCTGAAATTACAACAGTTTTAAGTAATTAAATATTTTCTCACAAGAAAATCAAACCTATTAAAAATAAAAATTTAAAAATCCGTCTCGAATTTTGCAAGGATAATAATATGCGTTTGTATCAATTATCCTTCATTTTTAATTGTATATAATTTGAAAAAACTGTTGAATTGATATTTATCCTAAGAAGAAACTCGAGGAAATAAATCAGTCCACTTTATTGATACTTAATAATTATACTAATCGTTAAATTTATGCTCGTGATATTGTGAAAATATGATACATTCCTTCTGGAAATACGTTGCGCCCAATAATTGAAAGCGTTTAAGGTCCGATGTGCCCATCCCCTAACGAAAGCCAATATTTCGATCATCACACGTATCAGAGTGTGCGTGTGCCGTGCCACTCGCGACAAAGTGTGCCACACGACAAAATGTGCACGCAACGAGAAGGAGGGATAGTAAATGTACGTAGGAAACTTGTAGGATCTCTTCGTTCTCCGCATTCGATCGCGTCGGAAGGCGCGATCCTCTCGAGCGTTTCTCGTGGCGAAAACTATCCCCCTAACGAAATTCGCGTCGTCCGCGACCAGTCGTATCTCTAATATCGCGCACTCTCTACGGAGAAGGACTCTTGCAGCCAGGACGACGACTACTCAAGAAATTTCTCTCGTCCGGGACCGCCCCCCCCCCCGAAACTCTAATCGAGAATTAGCGATTTGCGGATTCCCGCGACGTACCCCATCTTCTCGCGGTGTCTTCCCGATTCTTCTTTTTCTTCTTCCTCGAGGGAGGGAAGGCCGGGAGAATGGAAGAATGTGGATATATACGGATGTTCAAGCGTGACACGAGGATTGATCGAGGAGAACTCGAGGGGATACTTCATGCAACGGGTGGCGCGGTACTTTCCGGTATCGGGGACAGGTGCGTTTTATGGGGATCGCGACGGCGAAGAAAAAATCGGAGCGGGAGAAAATCGGTGGGAGGATTGGGAGACTCGATAGTAGATAGAGATAGATAGAGAGAGATAGAGATAGAGAGAGATAGAGATAGAGAAGAGAGAAAGAGAGAGCGAGCGAGCGAGCGAGCGAGCGGGGCCAATGGAGCGGTTACCTTGGAATGCTGTGCCGTCGTCGGTGTTACAGGCGGCGTTTCCTCGGCGTCTACGCTCGCTGCGTTTGGTAATCGCTGCTCTTGCACCGACGCCAAGCTAAGCAGGGGAACAGAAACCGAGTTTCGTCAATCATAGAAAGGAAAATCGGGCATTGTAGGTCCTAACTTGTTTATTTTTTTTTTTTAATTTAATGCAGATTTAGGTCATAAAAAGAAAGCACACTAAAATCTTGCGACTAATTAAAGAACAGAATTATCTTTAAAAAATTCAATTAAAGATCTAAAATAGGAACATATTTCATTAAATTAATTCAAAAAGTCTAGAACCTGCGTTTGATAAGCTATATATGTTTTCCTTTACTTCGTAAGCTTTTATCGCCGTAAACGAAACGCAAAAATCTTCAATGGTAATTTTCGATCGCGTAAACGTTTGAAAAACACGGCAATCTTGTCGAATTTATAGAATTGGCGCAATACCATTCTAATAAAATAAAAAGCCGTACCGTTTGAGCGTCACGAGGGTGCCGGTGAGTTTCTTGCAACGTCTCAGCGCAGACTCCAGTCGTTCGGGTTCTTCCTTCAGGAACTTCTCCTCGCGCACCACTTTTTCCATCTCCGAGCTCAGTAGACCCTTCATCCCCTCTTGCAAACTCGGAAACCGTACTTTCAGGTCGGCCACAGTTTTGCTGGAAAACAAAAATTATTCCATAAAATTATCCCGTCGCATTCAGCAAACCTAAGTGTTACCAATTCTATCCCGAATTTTCTATCACTGATAAAGAAAGAGAGGACGTTCAACGTATAAATCATTTATAAAATTCTACCGACGCACGCAGCGTCGGCCGCGCGACGACAATGATGACGCTCTTGCTCAAGCGGGGGATCGAATGTGCGCGAGGCTTACCTGGATTTACTCAATATCAAAGCCATGTTCTCCACATCCGACATATTGACACGCGTCTTTCTATTGATCACATTACCGCGAAGCTCCTCCACGGTGCTCTCGAGCTCGCTGAAATTCGCAACCGTTTCGTTTACGTTTCGTTGTTACAGCGTGTCTTCTAGAGCGGTCTCAAAAGAGATGTACTCACGTGAGATCTTTTTCCAGCCTTATCACTTCCTGCTTGTAGAGATCTTCTTCGCGGCTTAGTCGAATCTTCTCCGTGTCCCCGGCCGTCCAAACTGCGTCTCCTCCCGATAATAGCATGGCCCTACGACAATAATTGTTTGAATCAGTCATTTGAATATAGTGTATTTCTTTTATTAAAACATTGTCGAGAGAAAAAAAATGTTTTAATTTTATTATATAAAAATTATTAAATACACATTAAATACACGCATTCGTAATATTTAAATTCATAATATTGAATATGACCGTAATAATTGTATAAAACTGGCGTATTCATGTTGCGTACTTTTCATTCAGGTACATTATTCATACCTTTTTATGTAATACAATATTTATATGACATGCTATTAACATTTATATAAATATTACATATGTTATATAAATATACTCTTTACATTTCTTTGATAATATACAAGCAACAAAGATTTCTTGTGCAATTATGTAACGAGATCCCAAATTTTCTGATCTACGTAAAGAAGCTGATAAAATAAAACAAGTGATTTTATTTTTTAATATAATTTCCCTTTATTTCAATACATTTTTTAATGAATTAATTTTTCTATACTACAACAAAAATATTCTGAATTTTTGCTTTTCAAATAATTTAATACTGCGAACGTTATTTTTCATCACTGGTAAATTTTTTGTATTAAAAAAATAAAAATGGTTGTTTTATTTAACCTTAGTTTGTACCCGTGGAAAAATTTTGCAAATCTCACTATGTAACTTTTTACATTATAATTATATATGTCTCGCGTCTCATTTATTCAATGAATTGCGAGATATTTACCTAATCGTAATGAACGTGTCCTTGATAGTCTCACGCACCGTATGAGCCTGGGCTTGCGACATGCGCCTTAAATTTCTCACTTCTTGCCTAAGGTCTTTCGCCTTCTTCTGCAGACCCCTCAGCTGATTGTACATCTCCGGCGTGAGCGCCAGGTCCCTGTAGACGTACTGACCGGCCACCAGCGCGGCCGGTTTCGGCGGTGGTGTCGGCTTGTGCCTGTCTCTCTCTGTAATCGTTGATTCAACACGTAAGAGCGCGTGTCTCCCGCGTAATCATCCGCGAGAATTGCGCGAACATTTAAGGGATTTAAGCTCGTACGGCGCCGCTCCTCTCCCGTGCGATGGCCCAACATAATTGTTCGGATACGTATCTAGCTAAAATTTTCGGATACTTCAACAAAACCATTTCTTTCCGTGCGTTAATCAGAACGACACAATTTGCCGCGTTTCTCTCATTGTTATATAAACCGGGGCATCCTCTGTCGCGTTTCGCCGTGCAGAGTTTGCGAAGGGCGAAACGCGGCTGCCGCCGCTGATTGTCGTCGTGGCAGATAAACGATTTGTCAGCGGCATTTCGAGTGGCCGCGGCCGGTTCCTCAATCAGCTGATTAAATTTGACGTTCGTTGTTGTCGTTGATCGACGCCTCGTCACAACGCGCTTCGCACGATAGAAGAGCGGGGCCCCGGTAAATGAGAGGACAGGAACGGTTAAACGGGTGTCGGCGGCACAACACAATTTTACTGTCACTTTTATTGCCGCGGTTTTATTGGACGGATGACGAAAGGCAGCACGGCACGGAGCGGAAGAAGGAGACAACGGATGACCTAACTGACGGATCGAAAGTGTCGCTATGTATTCCAAAGCGGAAGGGCCGTGTGTGTTCGTGTTGCATATCTGCGTGTGACATACACCCCTCGTGGCATATCTCGCTGTGTGATTGCACAAACGTTCCTCTACAATAACATAATTATCTCCACGGACGCAGGCGTCGCTTGCTGATCGCAGTGATATATTTTATCGGCGATCAAGTCGAGAGTCGTTGCGCGAACGCGCTACGATAGGAGATCAATGTCCTTGTGCTTGCGAAATTTTAACGAATTCGACAATTCCGCATTGCACAAATTTTCGCGTATATCCGACATAGAACAGACGCATATCGGTTTTTACAATAAAGATAATATAATTACAATACTTTAACTTATTATTTTTTATTTAAATAATATTACGTATATCCGACAGAACAGATGCATACCGGTTTTTACAATAAAGATAATATAATTACAATATTTTAACTTATTACTTTTTTAGTTATTATAAATTAAATTAATTTAAATTCATATTGCCTTTTTTATTTATTTTACAACATAACTGTTGTAAAATACATAACTGATACATATTCTTTTATAAAGAAAATCATAATACCAAGCATTTGAATATTTGTGGAGGTAGAAGCTTTCACGTGATATTTTGTGGCGAAAATGGACTGATATCAAACGGCGCGCAAAAGAAGCGAATTACCTAATAATCTTATTCAACTGGAACATTCGTCAGGTGCATCTGTTCTATATGAGGCCGAGAAAAAGAATTTGCGTCGCGATTTTATACGTTAGACGATCCGTGAGACAATCCCAAATGAACCGAACTCATGATAAGCGACGTCGCGCGTCCCCCGCGGGCAAATAAAAGTACGTTCCCCCGACACGATGAATAAAGGATGAATTTACGAGCGGGGTCGGCAGGACGGAAGGGGATGGACGGATAAGACGGATGTGTCGTGATGTTTCCGAGTGATCGGCGGCGGCAGATACGCAGCCGTGACATATCGCTCGGTCTAGAGAATAGGAGGGGGGGAGAGAGAGAGAGAGAGAGAGAGAAAAACAGAGAAAGAGAGGAGACGCGGGGGCGGCACGCAAACGTCGAATTCGACACGAAGAAATGCATTTGTCGCAAGTGTCCCGTAAAATAATACGAACGTACGCGAATTGCCTGCTGTCCCGCGCACGGACGCCCACGTGGCCGCGAAGCATTCGTCAACGCGATGATATATGAAGGGCACATAGAAAAAGGTACAGTCGCGCTTCCTCGACGACAGTGGTGATCGAACGATATGTGACTTGAAATAACGCTTCGAAATAAGAGAGACGCGCGGTGAGAGAGAGGCATGTGTGAATTTCTCACCCGAATATGAGGTCGCGCGATGTCTTGCGGATAATCTCGAAAAGAGAGAAACTGGAGAGAATTTCCTATCCGAAGATAGATAGAGGGAGAGAGAGAGAGAGAGAGAGAAGAGTAAATAACATTCGCCGGTTACTGAATGTGATTGATGTGAAATGCGAAATGTTTTTCAAAGTAACTTCTGCGAGCCTCACGTGAGTTCTCCCGATGAGTTTCACATGGAAAACATACGGACGGACTGTTTGTACGTACGTGGCTTGATTTACTTTTAGTTATTTTTCGCTTCGCCTGGACTGGAGCCAGCACCAGTCGCCTTTTTTTTCTTCCTCGCATACGGCATACTTTGAAAATCGATTTACATGGAAATGAACATATTAATTCGTTTAAAAATCTAGCAACGTCGACGTGCAGGCAGCGCTCGTCTCAGCTTTTTATCGTGAGTGGACTTACAATTTTCTGGTGCCCTCCATACAGTGTCGTCCCGGGAGGCGAGGAACGAATAAAAATAAAATAAGGAAGAGAGAAAGAGCTCGAAACACGATGGAACGGCGGAAAGAATATTGTACCAAAGATTTTTGGCACGACGCTCATGATGTGAACAACATAGAAATATGGTAGACACAGCGTGACATATAGGGAAGAAGCACAGATACTAGGAGACTGGAACTATTCGGATAATATAATATATCTAATTATTTCGACCATCTTGAGATTATCGCAATCATTAAATAAATACTAAATATAAAGTTAAATAAATAATGTCTGATCCAGCATTAAACTTTTTAATGAAACAATGTGAATCCGAGATTATCCCTTTTAAAGTATTGGAATAATTTTGGAGATGTACCTAAATATTGCTTAATATAAAAAAATATGAACAATTGATTAGAAATAAAATTTAATAGAAACATTCAATTCTCAAAGATGAAATTTGGTTGGAATTTCGTTCATGTTAACAAAGATATTGAATTCTTTATGTGTATACTTATGTGTATACTTAAAAAAAAACTGCCGAATAGTTCCATCCCTAATAGAAAGACGGGGAAGTTTTACCTTGCGACGACATCCTCGGCAACGTGGAGGATTTGATTGCCGGTTTCGTGGGTTTTGTGTCCGCTAGTCGTGGTAGGCATTGCAGAATCGAATACGAGAAGGCGTTAGAGATTATTGCGTTAGTATCCGCGCGTTAGGGTTGTTTTTCTTTTATTAAATATATTTTTACTTTTGTACGAGACCCTTTTACGATCAAATCGGATTCTTATCACTAATATTGTACTCACTAAATACTGAATACGATATTCGTTACTGGGTAATCGTTATAGGAAGTGTCAAAAACGAATGATCGTATTTTCAATTTAGGACACCTATTTCTAATTTTTATCGATTACAATCAACAATTGTTGACGTAATATCAGATCATATAATTTCGTTAGGCGAAATAATGACATAAATTGATAGAAATAAAAATTTATATGTGCGTCTTTGTGCAAGTATTTTGAAACGACGCAGTACATTAGATGAATTTTTTGCCTCTTGTAAAATCAGAGGCATTAAATGCATGTATTAATTCTTTTATATTACTTTTGTTACGTTTCTCAAAATAAAAGAATTATTACATTGTTTCGCTCAACGAAATTGTGGGGATAAAGAAAAATAAAACAAATATATATATATGAGACCAATTATCGCATGAAAATTGTTATAAAAATCCCATTTGGATTATTTATGAAGAATATATTATTTGATATATATAGCTTTTGAAGATCGATATTAGGAAAGACACAAGAAATTCGTTTACCGTATTTGGTATTGTTAATTATGTATCTACTGTGTAAACGTACAGAGAGAGGATTACTAAAGATTTACTAAATGCGATCGAGCAATTATTCGCGTTAATCGATCGCGAATCGAAATCAATTATGAATCACTCGAGAACAATCCACGAGATTTTTAAAGTAGAAATACAGACTCCGTGATTATAGGTCTTTGTGGCAATCTTCAATCGAACTTCAATCGAGATCAGATACACTCTTCGATACTTTGTAGCGAAATTGCATCCAATTCCTTTTGCTCGTTGCAAAACGGCCAATCATGATATAAAGTCTCGTTCTTAAATTGCTATAGAAATCCTGTTACGGCAAGAAAAGATCGAAGTCGTCATATGATAAATTTTACTTGTAATCTCCAATATATACACATAGGAAAGTTTGTCATATTATATACTAGCAAAACCTAAAGGAATTAAAAGAATGATATTAGAACTAGAAATTTACGCAATATATCTGGCAATTGTTGCAAGACGAGAATTCTTTCCTGCGTATTTAGCGTTTTGCAATGCTAGCGAACATCTAAAATCTACCATTTCCTCAACAAGTGATCTGATAACAATACGATTCGTTATTCTGATCTTTACAGCGGTGCTTAGCATACATGTTTTGCAATTTTTTTTTTTTTTTTTTTACGTGACGTGCGCTAGCCGTTACCTGCATGTTGCGGGGAATGTTGTTTGGGGGAGTTCATGTCTGGTGGCTCGTCACTGAAGGACACTGACTTTTCAAACGACACCGACTTGTCTGCAATAGATGTTGATCAGCATATTTTCGCGTGGTATATGTGTGTAAGAAGCGTAAGAAGCGTGTAACGTGAAGATGTGCGTCCGGCCGGACGGTAAATGAGGGATGAAACCAGCGCGGGCTTTCGGAATACTTTTCTCGTTCGATCGAAAAAATCGCACTTTACCATAAAATATTAGCTAAGCTGAAAGCACAACTTTGTATATTCTCCTTCAGCTTACTTTAATCCACTTTTTTTATTACCAAGCTAATTTACACGTTTTTAAGAAGTGCGATTATGCGCGACGTTACGCGATCTCTACTTCCGGAAAGCTTCGGAACAGCTGCTTTCACGAATCACCCCTAAAGCCGACGCTGAATAAAACGATCGTGAGGGTGCCGAGACTTCGGCGCGTGCACCATGCAAACGAAAATCATAGATGATTGCAGGCAATACAATGCGTTACAAAACTGAATATGAATTGAACATATTTTTTTTGAGACGACATTTTAGCCCACGGGAAACAAAAAAGAAGTTAACAAAACGATTTGGGCATAGGCGAATATAATGAGCGAAATGATAGAGATAGAGGACGATCGCGGAATATAAGCAGATTTAACGAAAACTCGAAAATTTTGTGTGCCATCGAAATTTATTGATGAAATATCCAACCAAAGATCAAGATCGTATGAGCGAAAAGAGAAAAAATATGGCACGGATGTGTGTACAAGAGAGGCGTGCAACGATGACAACGCAAGAGATAAGAGGCGACAATGCGGCGGACATTCGCGACAGTGCATACATAAAAGAAACATATACATATATTGAAGCGCACCTTTGCCTAATTTTGGCGGTTTAACGTCAGTCCTTAAGTACGAGTCATCTGTAACGGCAGGTTGAGACACTTGAATTTTAAAGGACACGCGTTTTATTAACAGCAATAAAGGTAGAAACAACGTTAAATATAGAATGTATAAATATATATGTATATAAAAGTGAATATAAAAGTTGTAATATCTGTATATATATATATAAATAAACGTATGTAAATATATATAAATAGCGGTTATACAGTGATTCGGAGGTGAATAGAAGATAGAAGAAGATGAGAGACACACCTGGCAGTGAGGCAGAGCTGGAGCTAGAGTGTTTGTCGAACTCGTCCCCGGCGCCTGGTGTGTGCGTTAGTCGGAATAACAAAGCAGTTGTACAGCAGGGTTTCAGGAGAGTTCAGTCCGTGAGACTACAACCGCTATACCGGCAACTATATGCCGTCGAATTCAAGCCAGACTTTCAATGTCCTCCGGAAGCGGCTTTCCGAAGCCGCTTGTTACGCGAAAATATTTGCCAGCGTGCGTATTTAAACTCTCGAAACGAAGCTCGCTGACAAAAGTTATCGATTACGTTCGCTATCACGCGTTTCTCTATTGGCAAAATGTTTGACGAAAATCTGCCAATTTTTAGTTAACACAAAAAATTTGTTCTCGCGAGATTCTTTATTGTATACAGTAAGAAATTTCGAAGCAGCGTCAATTCTTTTAATTTTTATCGAAAGAATTTAGTATTTTATTTTTCTTTGATTAATATCGAGCATCATGAAGAAAATTTGTGTCACGAACGTTATTCAATTCATTATTTTTTGTGAAAGCGTTTTGTTCTGTTCGATATTATTCTAGAGATATTATTCTAGTGTTCGATATAATAAAATTATGCTCGCTACCGCTCGTTGAAAATATTGCTAAACGACAACATCCGAATATTTTTTAGCGTTAATTCCGTTTTCGAAACTGGGCACGAGTAATGGCATATTGTTACTGGCGCGTAGCTCACGGCATAAATTCTTCCAATATATATGCATATCTGCATGTATGTATGCAACACATATGTATACGTATGCACGTTTACATCTAAAGTTGTGTTTTGTTTCAGCGAACCTCGACTTATCTAAAAGGCGGCCACGACGTTCTTCATGAATCATAAATAAAAAATAAAAAAATAACGCCAAAAACTTTTGTCTATTTTTTGTTTAAATACTAGGTATTTTTAACAATGAATTTATTTCCAGCTCTATTTTCTGTCTCGCTTTTGTCTCTACGGTTCGGAATAGTGTGAGAGAGAATTCGGCTTGTCTCGAAAATATATTTTTAATGTATATTATATTTTCCGATCTATAATTGTGATTGGATTATATTGTAAAAGTTAGCGATCCAGCAAAAAGCTCGACGTAGCCGCCTTGTTTTCCGTATCTAGCTATCGGCTATTGATTCCGATGTATTTGCGGTATGATAATGTTACTAAGAACCGTGGTTACGAGATGATCTGAGAGACGATGAAGATGAATAGATGAACAGGCACGGATGAAACGGACAAGATGAATGTTAGTAGAGACTACTTTTATATGAGGTGTCTAGCAGTTTCGTATGCCGCTTAGCTGAAACTATCTCAGTGAATTAAGTGAATTGCGCTCTAAAAACTTCTGTAAAATAAGCACTGAAAGGAAATGAACGAGGTGGCATTGCTAAACAGCTAAATCGATCGTCTTTTATTCGAGTCAAAGATCTCTTCAAGATTAAAGCTACGGCGGCATTTACGCGGCTCGTCCCACAGGTAACGAGAACGATTGTGACTTCGCGATTCTTGGTCGAATTGAAAAAAAAAAAAAAATGCTTCAAATAAATTATTCTCGCTGCGTTTGAGACGAGCCTGTGTTCTCAGAGCGATACGTTACCGAAAACCGTGATGATAAACACGACGTTATCGTGAAAGCGAAATCGAAGGTACGGAAAGAAACCTGAGAAGGAAAAACGAGATCGCGGAATTTTTTTACGGGACACGTACCTGCTGCTCTCGCGTAAGGATCACGTCCCGGCGGGACCTGCAAGTACTCTCGCGGCGACGGGCTGGTGTGCGGCGCGTGTGTCAGTGCCTTCTGTACGAGCCCGGTTAGATTGGCCAGTTGTCTTTCCATGTGCTCCACCCTTATCCTGCGACAGATAATTCTCGGTCAGGGAAACGGTCGGGTTAACGCTTATCGCTCTAAAATAAAAAAAAAAAGAAAGAATGGGACAGCTCTGAAAATTTATACACTAGGCGTTCGGCGAGCACGACACTTGAATGCTGCAAGAATCATGGTTGCTTTAAACAGACATTACGTATCACGATCTGTTCAGACAGTTTCATGCGTTGGACGACAAATAACCCATCAGACACAGAACAAAAAAAATTCCAACTTATATCATACTAGATGTTAATCGACTGATCGAAATAAAAAGATGACACACTTATATTATAATAAAAATTAATGAAAAATTATCAAATTGTAAAAATATTAGATTTGATTTTCTTTTTATTTTTGAAATTCTTATCACCTCGATTTGTTTCAATTTGCGCAAATAAGGAGTTTTTCGAATAAAAAATCTGTTAATAAAAATTTCTATTAACGAACAAAAAATAATGACTTCTATTGGTTCCGTTATCAAATGAGATTTTATCTTAAACTACATTATTCATAATGCTATAGTGCTAATAAGGAAGATGATAATGACAAGCTAAATGTGATATAAAACACGATAAGATGATAATAAGATGATAGCAAATGTCACGAAAAAGTCAAGTGACGCGATATCAATCAAAGCTATTAATAAGACATTGTACGTCATATTTGTATGAAATTTATATCACTTCTTTAAATAAAGAACACTTTACTAAGCAAGAAATGTTATCTTTCATTTTTGCTGAATGAGTACTTATCATTTTAATCTAACATTGTGGCATTCGATTTATAGTAAGAGGTCGAGAGGCTTCACAACGTACTAACAATAAAAACTGATAGAGACTCTACGTATGTATATCCGTTTTCACCGAAAGGACATGAAACTCCTTGCGACGAGAGAGATCCTCTCGTCATGCGCCACATGGCGGCACATGGTAAAGTCTTCTATTTCCGAATACGTATTTCCCGTCTGTGAAATCGGATATGCGTTACATAACACGATGCTAATCACGTGCATCTATCGCTTCGCATGACAAGTGACAGCAGTGCCCAATCTACGCCACGGTGTGACAGTACATAAAATGATATACAGGGTGATATATATGTGACGCGTGGCGGATCAGACCGGTTACGTGATCCTCATGGCGAGTCGGTTTCGGACTGGCACAACTTTTGTAAAAGTCCGCGCGAAGAATAAAGTGAGTTTGGGACGGTCGGACAAGTAGGATCCAGTTCAGTTTCCTGATATACACTTCTCGCTTCGCGGCGTAGCATCAATTCGGTCTAGAAAGTTCTTATACGAGAACCAAATGCTCGCGACGGCTTCCGAGTGTCCGGACGTGACTAACAGAGATTTGTCACAGATGAGAATTTTAAGCGAGAGCAATCGCGTAAAAATGCTTCTGCTAAGTGTCGTTATTGATACGTCTTGTAGGGAAGAAATATCTCTTCCGTTGATATTTGAGATGAAGTTATTATAAGACGCGAGTTTCTTATTTAAAATTATCTCTCTTTATGCTAATAAGCAATATAAAATAGCATTGGGATATTAGGTAAAATTAATAATTATAATAAAACATAATAATATTACTATTATCGTGATTTCTACATGGATTATACTATGGAAATAGTGCAGAAATAGGAGACGAATATTATTGATTGTCATGTCAACTTCATCATGGTAAGGGTGAATTCTATGGAGAATTTCATGAAGTGTCTGTTATATTATTCGTTATTAAATTTATTCCGAGGCACACACTAATAAATTTATAACTCGTGGTTGTGTATATATCCATTTCTTTTTTTATGGGAAATTGACTTTGATTTTTTACGTGCAAAACACCCTGTATATGACCAATGCATTCTCGTCTACGATCGCTAGTCGGCATGCTGCATTCCACCAAGTTGCAAATTATACTTCTATATGTATCATATATATTCTTTTTGAGGCACATTAATTATTTATACATATAATACACACTCAGACACACATATACACACATACACACACACACACGCACGCGCGCGAGCGCGCGTTTTTTTTTTACAATAGAAAGCATAATTATTTCGTTCAAATATAGAAAGTTCCGGAAAATATGGGCATTGTAAACATACAATAGCATGCATTAACAATCATTTTATCGTTAGTTCCTTTACGTAATTGAATATCAAACAAAGTTCCGATTAAAATAGTTATATTGAGATTAATTGCAAAATTATTTATTTGCATTACTTGTATTAATTAATATTTTCATACAAAATTTAAATTAATAACTCTAAATATTAAATAATTTTTGTAATTGAAGTAGAACTCAATTTGAAAAATTAATTAAAGAGTCATCAGAGAGTTAATTTGTATTCCCATATTATCCATGACGTATTATATGTATATGCAACCTGTCGTTTGTGTAATACCATGTAAAATAACTCAAATTTTGTAACAGATAAAAAAAGAAATTAATCCATTTTGTTTCTTCTAATATTATTGTTACCAATTAATCTTCATTAGAAATATATTATTTAAAACCTAATTTTTAGCAATTTGTGATTTATAAGTAATTAGTATTATACAAATGATATCTTCGTATGTATTTGAAAAGCAGAAAGACATAAATCTACAAATCAATATATATTTTTTTTTTTAAGAAAAGTCTCATAATCGAGAATCTTTTTGATAAATATAGTATAAGACAGATAAGAAACCTCTTTGCGCAAGCAATAATTTTTAATATTTAATTATTAGTTTAAAAAAAACAAAAAATGTTTACAGCAATTATAAAATGGATTAATTTAGAATTCCATTCAATATTAGATATGCCATTTCATAATTTATACAAATATTTGGCCTAATTATAACGATGTTATGATGAAATTAATAATAGTGAACTCACAAGTCGCTTCCGCTTTTCAAGTACATACTCATCAGAATCGTGCCACTGATCGATCCAACTTTGCCTCGCATAAGAGGTATAACCCGACAAAATTGACAGTGACATCTCTTTCTCTCTTTCTGTCTTTCTCCCTCATGATCACTCAATTAAGATATCCAACGTATTCTACAACATGCACTTGCAGACGATTCGTTATGGACAGAGCTGCCGCTTCGCGTGATGAAGGGAGTAGTAGCGTTCAAAAGAGAACACGTAGCTCTCGGTCGAGAGACTCGTAATAAAATTCCTATAAATTACTGAACTCGGTAGAAAAAACAATGAAAGTTTTACGGACGGAAATCGTGAGCGTTCAGATTCGATCAGTCAAGCTGACATTTCACGAATACAAACGTTATATTTGTGTAACGATTGGGTTAATTCCGGAATGGCAAATTTCCCAGTTCTGTAGACGATTCTTTTTTCGAAATTCCGAAAGCTCTCATAGAAACGACTCATTTTAATAAACGCGAGAGTCGCGAAACCCATTGAACGACAAAGCGAAATGTCAAAATTATAAAATTTGTAAATGTTTTTCATTGAGTAAAAATGATGGGAACGTATGTGAAAAAGGAACAAAAACGAACAATTCGACGCTACCACTCCCTATAAATAAGCAGCAATGGATATCGGCCAATATTGCAATTTAATAGCTAGACTTTGAATAGTAATTACGTAGCCAGAAATATTTCATTTCTCGGTGAAATGATTTACATGGAAACATTTTATCGATTAATGGACATTTTTAAATTTTATTTTTATTATAGATATTATAAATATAATTAAAGTATAAATATTAATAATATATAAATATTAACAAATTATAAATATGTAAATGCACTATAAATATTAATATTAATATAAACATTGAGCAACGTGATTGCTTGGAAAGTTTTGAACCAGTAGAGCTATAGACTCGTAAAAATTATGTAGGACAATTTCCGGGATTAAGAGAGGCTGGCGAATCCGAGACTTTTGTCAACAAGAGTTTCGGATTCACCAGCATTTCCGCTTTCAGGAGGCAGCTCGCTCGAAACGACACTCATGCAACTCGTATTCATTCGCAAGCAGTCAGCCAGCTAGCTAACCAACCAGCCAGCCAGAGCCGGTCGTGGCACGATTCTCGGATGGTTTCAATTCTTTCTCTCTTTCTGTCTCTCTTTTCTCTCATTTTTTCCTTTCTCTCTCTCTCTCTCATCTCTCTTTCTCTCTTTATTCATTTCCTTTTTATTCCGCGCAGGCAGGCAGGCCTCTACGCAAGACAAACACGCAGGCGACAGAGTGTGCGTGACGTGGGGTGCAGTACCGAGTAGCGTCGTAGCCCTGTCCGCCGGGCAGGGAGGGCGGCGCCCCCGGAGGAAACGGGGACCGCGGGGGACCAGACGGCGGACGCCCCGGTGGTTTCACGCCGTAAAGGCTGTACGATTCCTCCAACAGCTCCGTATCGCTGCACCACCCGCAACAAACATACACATCCGCGCTATCAGACATCCGTGTTGGAGGAGGTCGCGATGCGGACCAGCGTGAGGTGTGAGTTTCAGTCATTCGGAGGGTGGGTCGGGAGAGAGACGACGTTTTTCTGGTAAAGGGATCGTGACCAGAAAGGAGGGGCGGATCGGGGTTTCCGGGTGAATGGAGTTTATTCATACGGATTGTACAGCGTCGCTGTATTTACACGGATAGACGTGGCACGGATAGATGTGCTGGATCTCTTATTAAAGAAGCTATATATATATGTAATAAATTAACTCGTGCATTTATCAATGCCCAGTCAATAATTTGCTGGGGGCGAAAAACACATTGTCCACATTGGTCCTTCGCGCGCGGCAATGATATTCTAGCCGGTTATTTAATAGATTCAACCAATTCTGGAGTATTTAAACAGAGAGAGAGTAAATGTATATATGCTGCGTAAATGAAATATTGAGCGGGACGCGCTAATAAAGCGAAATGAAATGAATCTCGATGTAATGAAGTAGCTAACGTTCTATCATCGTATTCAGGTAGAGTTATTCTTTCCTTATTAAAATTTATTTGCAGAGCAGTCTAAATTTTCTTTTCGTTAATAAATTTATTCATTTATTTATTGATTTAGTTTTAGAAATTCGATTGATCAACAGCAGTTCAATGTTTATATTTAAGTGCTCTACATAACAAAATCTCAAATAAAAATTTAACCAAAATTGAATTTGTAGCCAATGTATACTTAAATAATGAATAAAATTTTTCTATCCACTTGTATTTTTAGAATTTAAGCAATAAAGATTTCTAAGCTTTAAATCGTTCATTTGCTAGATTGCAACAAATTTTAGCAAATAAGTCAATCGATAGAGAAATTCGCGGGCAAAAGAAAATCTGGTTATATCTTTTCATTCCGAGATATGAAAATATTTCGTCAGTTACAATCGTCATCGTGCCTCTTCGGCATTACGGATGCGATCGCGATGTCGTCTTTACTTCGGATTCGCGCGAAATTTCCATTACCTGGCTTCCTCGTCGATGACGGGCGTAACAGTCCCCGAGTATTGCGAATAATACGGATCCTCGTAGCTGCTGCCGGCGCTGTAAGGCCCGGGTGGGTATCTTCCGCTTCCGGAACTGACGCCGCCGCCGCGCTCGGGGCTGCTCATGTATCCGCTCTCCCCGTGTAGTCGATCTGCAGAGATTTAGTGATTCATATATTAGTCGAGACCAACATGGGGAACACCATCGAAATTCTCTTTCCCTGCGCATCACTGAGTTTGATTGCTTGGAAAATAAAATCGGTCGCTATGTACAAAGAGACTTATAATGATATTGGAATGATATCATTAGAAGCTACGTAATGATACAATTAAAAATGGGAAAAATACCGACAGTAAGACATTAATTCTTAACAATATGTTAAACAAAAACTCAAATATTTATCTTAACTCTTAGCACACACGATTAGGTCATTCGTGTCGGCTGTAATTTATATCAGGTTATAACATTTATATAATTTTTTTTCAATACGCAATTTTACAAATATTTTCAAAAGATGTTAAAGTACATATAACAATCACTTATAATATAATTTTTGTATAATTGTAAAAATAATGGAAATTAATCCAAATACGAACGGCATTTATCATTTATAGGAAAAAATCGGAAAATTATCGTGTGCGCTAAGGGTTAGTAAACGACTAAAGCCAACAAACGATTGATAAACAGATCGAAATCAGCAGTAATTATATTAAAACTCGATGATGATGAATTCATACGCTCATTCTACTTGTTCTACAATGTTCCTTGTATCAACAGAGTTTTTATGATTGTTATCACATCTATTTGTGACTCGATACCTCCGTTGAGTATGAGTTTCATGATGCGCGAAATGTGCAAATGAAATTACAATCAGGGGGACCGTATCGACGAGAGAACGTCGTTTATATCAGTCATTATATGATATGGAGAGGATATGAGAAAAAAGATCTTTTTCACGATCGTGCTTCTTACACACGGGAGGGCACACAATCTACGGTTCTCGAGTGACAGCGGGAGCAGATGAAAAATGGGATGAAAAAGATGCTGCTTTCCGTACATTATGATATCATACAGCGTTGTATGAGGGAGACGACATGACGCGGGATGATTTCTAGAGGCTCGTGAGGAATTTTAGCTTTAGTGTTGGGAATACACATCGAACCGCATGATAATTTCATAATGACTCCCGCACTTTCTACGTGCGTTATCATAACCAATTATTTAATTACGAACGAGATTGCTCAGATAATATCAGGTAACGCATAACGGTTTCCTTTTGGACTTAGATTTGCATCAAATTAAAGTACCTCAAGGTTTTGTTATATCACAAAAACATAACATTGAAAAATAAATTATTAGAACGTTACGTTAAACATTTCTGATTGATTTATAATCACAAAGAGATGGATAAAAATGAATAATTCATTTCACACAAATTTTTTATTTCTTCAAATTAATCTTCGAGGAAGTTATACCTTTGCAATACTCGAGAAAAGTTTTCTTTTCAATTTTTTTCCTCGCGCGACGCGTCAACAGCATCTGTAATTTACCGGCGCGCGAATTCAAAACATTTCGATTCCATTCCTATTTATTCCCAACACTATTTCCACGGTCTCGAGGTCGTTTAATTAAAACTTGGCTATACCCAGCTTGGCTAATCGCGGCTGCCAATTTCATGGTTTTCCTGCCAGTTACTGCGTTCCAAACATCCGACCGCATAACCCCCCGGCAGCGGTTCAGCTTCTCCTTATTACGAATACGCCACATTTGTTACGTTTTTGTCATATTTGTTACGCTGAAAATTTATTAGTCCTTTACTCATAGCTTGTACCATTACTCTTCGCGCCCAATGGCTTTCCTCCATAAAAGGTACAAAAAGATCTCTCTTTCACGATGTGTGTACGTTTACTAATTTCGGACAGATAAAGATTAGTGTTTTAAAACGACTTAATTGCATATCAAGCCTGCGAAGGCTTATGATTTATCTATCGCTTGGATTATACATACGTACCGCTATGGGAACAACGACAAATTACAGCGTTGCTATTTTTCACGAATAACTGATTTTTATTCTGCGTTATAATTCGATTCTATTTCACTTCGCACACGCAACCGATTGCGCCGTTGTTGCGCTGTTGCAAAATTTACCAAGTGTGCGCGATATCTCTCTGCGTATCGGAATAAATGACATTACAAACCTTAACCGGAAACTGCGTAAAACGTGCGCGCTGTGAATTGTTAAGGATGTTTCGTAAATTTTATACTGCATATTCTAATCAAAAAGCAGTTTATTGTTGTTTTTTGGACACAAGGTGCTTTTTCTTTTAATTTTTGTTAAACGTGCCTTTTTAGTAATTAGTTGTAAGCCATGTATGATTGTTATTTGCTAAAACACTGTTAGTAATATTAGTAATCAGCAGTTTGCTTAGTACATTCATGGGCGATTCTACAGATAAAAAAAATATTCATTTTTAACATTTCTTTTTCTTCTCGCCTGTATTATTCTGTACAAAATTTATTCAGCAGGCATTTCATTTTACGTTTTTCTCAAGGCACACACACACACACCTGCGGTCGTTTTTATTGCATTTTTATAGCTTCAAAGGAGGCGTTATCGCTTGGCTCGCAAGCTTCAGGCATCAAAGATCAGTCTTCCATTAAAGCACGTGTTATATATTGATATCGGCGACCGTAGGCCCGTCGCGAAAGGATCGAGCTGTGTCTGACGAATGTTTAAGGATACTACTGACCTGGTATACTATAGAGGGAGACCGAGCTGTCTCTAGAGAAGCGCGCCGAGCCCCCGAGGCTTCCAAGGGGACTCTTACCACACTGGTAGCTGCGAAGCGGCTTGGCCGGCGGCACCCCGCCAACACCTATCCAACCATCCAAAAAACCAAACAAAAAACCAATGTACCCAGGTGCTCCGATGCACGTATCTCCTGCGTTCTCTCCGCTCCACCACCCTCGCTAAGCCGTTCGACGTTCAGTGCGCACATGCAGAAGTGAACAAGACCGGCAGTACCGCGCGATCCGCGGCGCGGTCGAACCATCTCTTTCATGTTTCTTTGCGGGCTTCTTACGTGCGAGATCCAGTTGACATTCATACGTCCGCGCAACGTTCAATACTTCCGAAACGTGCAACCGGACTCAATTGGGACTGCGATAACGTTTCCGAGCAGAGCGATTTGTCAAAACGAAGCGAGACTTGGACAAGTAAAAAGGCGTGACGATATAAAATTAACAAGTCAGTTCTTATATTTAAGATCGTGTTAAGTTTCTAAGTACAGTCTTAGGATGTCACAAGCCAATCATAGAGCCACATTAGTATCATATGACATTACTTAAGACGGTCTTAAAATAAGAATCGGTCTTTAGAAATTTTTCAACGCGATTATCACGCACTCAGGTTTGTACTACGAGTTTATAATCGCGCGATTACGGAACGCCGTTGAAATTTTGACGTAATAGCTTGTCGACTTTTACACAAATGCACATCTCGACCGCGTCGACGATAATCGTAGTCGCGTCAAGAGAAATGTCTTCTTTAGAAAATGCGTTTCGTTTAATAAATTGACTTTTTTTTTCTCTTGGCTGACAGCGTTTAACGGACGCTCGCGCGCGTTTTACTATACAAAATAGAGATTTGCCTCGTCATAGCGGTTGATGATTAATCACGATCGATCTGCGTGCGATTGGGGCTATTCACGCGTCCTGAATCCGTTCCTCTCCGGCGGCGGCACGGTGTATCTCCGTGTAAAACGTTTCTCTCGACCAACAAGGAGAACACTCGTGGCGGCCAGAAATGAGGCCATCCTTTCCCTTTGGACTAGCAGGCAGCCTGTTAAAGTTTTTGAGTAGTCTCGAATAGGCGCGCTCGGCCAAACGCCGACGGTCGTAACGATCTCCCGTTGTAACGATCAAGATTCGAAACGACCTTGCAACCGTCGATCGGAAGCATGAAGAATGGAGAGCGATTGCGAATGTGTGTGCGTCTGTGTGCGGATATATGCGCTTAAGCTCAAAGCACGAGGTAACGTCGGTTTTTTTTTTTTTTTTTTTNTTTTTTTTTTTTTTTGAGAAAAATTGGTCGAGTTTCGGGAAGATTTCGAGAGAAAAGTGTTTGCTAAAATACGAATAATGTTAATCGCTTCTTCATCCGATTTTTTTTTGCTGGCCAATTAAATCGCGATGATCGTTCTGGAAATATAATTTGGAATACCAGAGTTTCTGATACAGCAAATGAATTGTGTAACTTTATAACCTGAAATAACAGCCTTCAAAAAATTGAAGGATACTGTATGAAGATAACTGGATGAATCCAAATACTAAATCTGTAATATTATTAGACGGAAAGAAGATTTTGCTGAGAAATCTAAAATTTATTTGAAGATCTGAAAATAATGAATCTGAAAATAATTTTTGGACCATCAAAATTATGTTGAAAACTCAAACATGAGGAATGCTGCAAAAAATTTTGATATTCTAGCAGTTTAATATTTCCAACATAATTATTTTTAGATATGTATCCAATTAAATTAGATCTCTCAGCAAAGTCGATCTTTCCGTGTATACATGCCGTTTGTTCTAAAGAAATGGTTATTAGATAATTCTCGATTGCATTAAAATATTAAAATTATTCCAAATTATAAAATCGGATTTATAATATATATAATATAATCATCATTAAATATTAACCTTGCTTCCTATTTTCGTAAACTCGCACTAATTACTTTAACCGCTTAGTCGATTGAATAGTCGCTTCGACCAATTTTCAGCAAAACGATAAAAGAAATATTCATATTTCTTTATATATCGTACAGGTATTAAAATCGTCGATGGGTATTTAAGCGTGTTGCTGCATGAAAGGCGACCAGAATTTTACAGTGACAATACAGAATCTGTCTTGCACTCGAATAAAATATAACTTTTTCGAATAATAAGAGTTAATTTATTATATCGATGGCCAGTTTCTCAATTCCTTGTAATTCCTTTTCATCGAAAGAAGATTCCTTTTAAAGGAATCAAGTGTCACGTTTGCGTCGCATCAATTTCTCGAGAGGTCAAAAAAAATTTCAGAATTTTAGATTCGCGATGTTTCTTTTCAGAGGAGCTTCACGCTGTTCTGGTCACCTTAGGTAAGGTATCTAAGGGAATGCGAATTTGGGACGTGCACGTTGTATAATATGTTTGCATAGATCTCGTGAGGGGGATGATATACTACGGAGAACATCGGTGCAGGCATGAAGGAAATGCACAGGCGCGCGAAGCGGTAAATTCCCATTGAGCGGCCCAAAGTTGCCGCTGTATAATCTCTTTAGAAGTACGCGCGACATGTTGCTTGTTACTACAGCAGCTTTATCATAAAATAATTCGAAAGGGGATTTATTCTACAAATTAAATTAATTTCTATTTAATCCTATACACGGAAATAATTATAGCAGTTAATTATAAATTATACTCTGTTTGCAGACGAGTTGTAAAATAATCAAACGTTACTTCAGTCAAGCGATAAATTCTCAAGTGTTCACTCTAATTAAATTTAATGTGAGGAATTTTCCGGTTTACAATGGACAATAAATGTCACGTAAATTGACACACGACACAGTGACGGGGAATTGAGCGCGTAAATACGATTTTTCGAGCATTGTTGGGCCGCTCGTTTAATGAGTCGTGTCGATATAATCGGATCTCGAGAGCGAGACTAGTGTCTATACATATATGTATATATATTTATGTACAACACGCGTCCATGATAGCACGCGCACGTGGGAACGTAGGAAGAAGGAAACGCGGACATTCGTATACCTGGTGTGGTGAGAGTCTTGGGGGTCGTCGGGGTCGCGCTCGGACCTCCGACGACGCTCGACGCCGCCGGACTGTACGCCCTCAGAAGGGGTCCACCGCGCGGCAGGGTGCTGCTCCCGCCCACGTAATACCCGCTGCCGGACGTCGAGTTCTTGGCCGTCTGCAATCAAAAAGGAACTTGTCAAGAGAGAAAGATTTGGGTCACGCGCCGTTAATTCGAAGGCCGAGGAGTCGCGGCTATTTTTTCACGCCGAGACTCGCAATAATCTAATTGACGTATGGTGCAACATTGATGTCGGATGCTACCGTCGATTAAAGAGCGATACGGCAATTGTGGGCAACAAGCGAGACATAATTATTACACCGAGTTGCGAGATTCTCGTACAGTTAACCGCCAATTCACGTTTAGGTATATCATAACATTTGCAAATGAATCTTTTTACGCGATTATTCGGGATTGTTATCTCGCCGAGAGATAGAGCCTTGTCCAGGCACGAGTGTCTTCCGGCTGCCACTTTCGCAACTGGTTTTAAGGCTCGGTGCCGTTAACGTTAATGTTAGCTTTCCAGCGTGAATTTCCAACGCGGCCGTTTTTACGATCATTTTAACGTATACTATCCACTTATGTATATAGATATCAATTTCTTCACACATACCAACTTTCGTCAGGTTTAATGAATAATGGATTCAACTTGTGATATTAAATTACTAAAGTGATAAATCTATAAATTAGAAAAAATTAGATTCTTTTTCCTTTGACGATATGATTATTTTTCCGACAAAAGTATATTTTTGAACGCAAGGTCGCACGATGCGAAGCCTTAAACCTTCTTGTTTAGCCTCGCAGCGGGATACACTTTGAAATATTTATACGCGCAATAAAGCGTTTGTAATTCCACTGCCGCTTGCAACATGGAATGCCTAAGTTATTCGCCGTATCATCCCGTTTGTTTCGCGCTTGCTCGTCTCGCCAACTTTCCACGAAAGATTAACTTTCCCATATCGATCACACAGTGGACTTGCATGACACGCACGGAATATACGATTAGCGATCCCGCATAAGGTTCTAAAACGGTTAATAAAATGAAACTGTTACTTTCGCATATATTACAAAGTCGGCGCGGCGGAACGTAGCTGAAAAATTCTTTAACACGACCGCGATTTATACTATTCGCCTTACGAGTGTATTAAATTGTTGAAAAAGCAGAGAAGGCATAATGCTCCGGAATAAAAGTATTTCAAAAAGCCTCTATTTCAGAAGCATAAAGTATGTAATTGTAAGTATATTTCTTCATATCTACATTTCTTTATATTTCTTCATAATGCAATTGTCATACCGGTATAATTTTTCATTGTATCGTTATCCTGCCTGTATCAGAAATCGATTATGGTAAACGCGGTGTAAATAAGTATGGATAAATCCAATGTAGGTATACATCTGGAAAAGAAGAAGTGGTCGCTCGCGCGATTCATCATTCTGATATTGACGTGGGCGATCTCCGTATCTTCATAGTCCATTCTCATTCGGGATGAAAATTACGCGTGCCGTGCTCGGTAACTAAAATAGGCCGCTTTAACCTGCGGCCGCGACGAAAAGTCCCTCCCTCTTACCGATTCTTACTCGCGCGCTCGCACTCGGCCGATTCACATCGATTTCGCTTTTAGTCGTTGTTTACCGTCGTCGCCGCGAGTTCAGCCTGGCCGTCACACTCGCCGGGTGAATCGGCCGGAAAGGGAGAAGAGAAGAGGAGTCTGCCGCGGCGTAGGAGAGAATTCGATCGGAAATTTAATTAATGGGGGAGTAGTTTTTTTTCAAAGATCGATCGTACCTAAAAATCTACGGAAAAGAAAAAAAATTGAAAGTGGAAAGAAAACTAGATTTTCCTCTCCAAAGAGGATTATTTAGTTTTGCCGTGAGACTCATTTGCCGTGTACACGTTTATTTGCGGCAAATGAGAAATACGACAGTAACAAGAGGAAAGGAAAATAACAGCTTGTCCAGGCGTTAATCATACTTCGAATGAAGAGGAGAAAGACAAATATTCTTCCACTCGGCTTTTGTACATCTAGAGAAGATACGAAAAGAAGTCCACACGGCTACTGAAGAGTCTTTTCACTTGACGTGTGCTTTTAATTATAAAGATCATCAAGCAAGAACCGAGAGAACGCTGTCGAGGTTTTCAACAACTCGAGAAAGAAAAGAAGATCGTCAAGTTTTGTGCTTTTAACAGTGTGGAAGTTGTCACGCATCGAGCAAAGAGGGTAGGCAGCAAGATATCTTTAAATTTCTCGACAAATCGTGGAAGCCGGAATATCGAGGAAGCAATACACAACGAAGAGTTCAGTTTCTTGCTCCCGTTCGGCAAGCGCGAATGAAAAAGAACGGCGTACAGCAAATCCAGAGACAAAGTCTTTGCTATTGAAGGACAGAAAATCCCCGCGTGCCGTTGTCCTGTGATCGAGGAAAGTGTCACTTGGCGAGTGACAAGTGAGATAAGTCGCGAAAAAGTTACGAAAAAGAGTTTGCGAAGCAGAGGGACCCCAAGTGAGTGTAAAAAAATCGACGAAGGCAAGCGTGAAGGGAAGATCGGCGAACGAGGCGGAGATGCCAGGTAGTTTTCTGCAGTTTGAACGGATGGATAGACGGGAGGACGAAGGAACTTGCAGCGTCGCGTGTAGCGGCTGAAAAAGGGATACCGGGCCAGGCGGAGCAAGAAGAGAGTTGGAGCGGACAACGTCGGAGGACAATTCTCTTTTCGTGAGCGCGATCAGATAGACGCGGGATAAGATTAAACGGAGGGAAGGACGGGGAACAGGCCAAGGGGTCGAAAAGAGAGAGAGAGAGAGAGAAATCTCTCCCTTGGGAATAAAGTATACACAGAAGAAAAAGAAGCGGCGGGAGGCAGATGTAAGGAGCAAACGGCAAACTTTCGTCACGAAGCGATTGAAGAAATAGCAATTAGATGCAACGAGGGCGATGATCAGATAAGAATGAAGAAACTCATGACGAACTTTGAAATTAGCATTCTCCCTTTCTCGTCCTTGATCCTTCTGGGCTTGCTCGTTGCGGCGGTTTCGACAACATCAGTCGAACTTGTCGGCGCCGAGAGGAGTCTCGGCGGCACGCCGATGCACAGCGTGCAAATGACGCAAAAGGGTTACATTCAGGTGAGAATCACGTGCGATGCAATTCGGAGAAAGCCGAATTACATGAATGAATGATTTATGTAATTTTACATTACTCAGAGCTACTAAAACTTTAAAACATAGGCATGATCCATAAATTAAATTATGTGTCCAATTTTAAACGTCCAGAAGCGTACCGAATGTCTACCATTTATTCTAGATAATAATAAATTTCAATTGTATTAAATGTTCAATTGTTCGCTGTTAGTAACATAAAAATTTTTATCGTTTCCGCTATTGCGTAGCCCGCAGGAATTCTTGTGATTTCGTTCGAGTGAGCGATTAGTCAAATTGACCATAGGGATTGCGTAGCGCAAAACATTCCGTAATACCCCGCATCTAGATATATCGAGAGTGAAAAGCTGACAAAACAGTGGGAACAAATAAAGATAAATCGTCATGTTGTCGGATATAAAAGATACATATGTTCCAACGAGGCGTGGAAACTCCGCGAGATTTCTATCGATTACGTGAGCCAGGAGGGCAGTTCCATAACACGTGGAGAGAGAGAAAAGAGTCGTTTCACGCTGATTGCCTAATTTTCATCGTCCGGTCTAAGAAACATCGGTCGTGGTCTACATACCTATTTCTACATGTACAATGTGTTCCAGATTTCCTGCGCTTTCTTTTGCCTACAGAAATTCTTTAACTCGGAGTAAGCTTTTCTTTTTGGTGAAAATTCTTTCCTATGGCTTTTCAACATGCAACTTCAATTGTTTGCGTTTCGTAAAATTTAAAAAAAACTCGGAAATTCCAATGTTGTTAAAATAAAGTTTACTAAAAATGTAAGAATATTTTAAATTCGAGAGATATTTAGAGTTTTTTTTTTAGATTTAATAGAAATTTTGTACAAGGGTATAGAGATATATTTAGAAATTTCTCTTAAGAGAAAATCAACTTTGAAAACAACTAAAAGATCATTACGATAGACATAAAAATAAGTCGTAATCATCTGGGATATAGCATCGCTCTAATTAACGTGCGATATGTTGTTGACTAATCATCTTCACCTTTCAGTTTCTCAGATGGGAATTACCAGTGCCGGAAATTCACGAATTTACATTCTGCCTCTGGGTGAAGTCGAGCGATCTCACGTACCCTCACTCGATCCTTTCATACTCAAGTGAGTATTCTCAATGAAATCGCGACTTGACGTTACACATACCGTCCCATTTCTTCTCTTTATATTTACACGTAATATATGAATTTTCTCTGTCAACTATAAACCGCTTGTCCAATTCGACGCGTTTCACGTTCAAGAAAACAAACAAATCGTGTTTGTCGTTTTTCCATTGTACGTTCTGAAATTATTTCGTGAATCGCAATTTGCAGACGAAACGTCGAGATTGCTGCAAAAAAGACTCTTAACGAAGAGACAACCCATTTCGCGAATGTTCGAAATGTAGAAAATAGAGGAGAAATCCACTGTTCCGCTATTCGGCCGGAGATAATAGTGTCTGTTAAACGGTGAGCTACATCCAAGCAGATGTAATACCTGGCAGGGAATAAAGAGGCGTTTTAGCGCTGCTGTCCTGTCCCCCCATCGCCTCATCTTCGTCGGAATTGTTGTAACCGTTTTGGAAATAGTAACGAGGGCCGTTGTCTTACATGGCGCAGCGCGCTATTATCCACTCAGGCATTCACCGCGTAATTGCGCAAGAGTTCGCGGAAAGTATCTTCGCGCTTATGGAAAACACTGCGTCTCCGCGCGTGCAACTATCCCGTTGCAGTTTAGTAGCAATGTTAAGTGAACGCACTGCCCCGCGGCGTTATCTCTTTTTACGTGTGAGAATTAGCGCGCTACCGTGCGGTCCCGCTGGCGAAACGCTAATTGCTCGAATTACGAAATCGCACGGGATTTAACTGCTCTCCGATACAGCCGGGGCATAAACAGAATTTGAATATTTATGACGGAATCGCCTGCCGGCTGTTGCCGTGAATCCATCGTGAAATACGTTACTTTATATTAATTAGTTAAAATCTTCGTTTAAATCTTAATCACCTTGCGAAATAACGCCCTATCACCCAAGAGAATTAGTAATCGTTGAACGTGTCGCAAGAAATTAGAAGCAAAACAGGTAATTCCTCGATGACGTCTACAAATTATGTTTATGCGTGTGGATTACGCGTAACTATTCTACATGTCCTACGTAAAATGATTTTTGCATTGATCTATTTAACACTTTGGTCGATATTCATAGTTTATTTTTATTTCAAGTCTTAAGTAATGTCTTAAGACACTAAATACGGCTCTGTGATTTGACTTGTAACATTTTAAGACGGTTTTAAATATAAGAACTATGAATACCTTTGTCTGCCATGTTACCCATATTTGGGTGACGCATAAAATTCGTAAAAGTGCCGTCACTCATTTATCCATTTTGCGGATTTTATTGATCCGATTAAAAATGATTCTATTAAATATTTAAGACATTAAAGAAACAATAAGGTCAATGCAAAAATAAGCTAGACAGTCAAAGTAATAAATTATATTCAAATAAATCAAACAAAGAATAGAAAAAGTATACTCGAATAAAAAGTAGCTAGAATAAATAAAATAAAAAATATAGATCAGAGATCTTGTATTACCCTTTATAGAACAAATTCTTCTAATTTAAGCTGCGTATGCCCGTAAACAAGAAAGAGATATAACTTTCATTCGCGTAATGAAAAAAAAAAATCACATTTCAAAAACGTGTGATGGTCAACGAAAGAAACGAGACCACGCAGTGCATGCCAGTTTGCATAAATTCTAGTTTCGCGGTATATCCCTCGTACCACGACCGAGGGAGAACGATGCACAAATATAATCCTCTTTCGCTGTCAAAGGGAACGAGCGGGAACGTTTGATTCGATCTTGGATATCGTCGCGCGGAAGGAGCATTCACCTGGAAATTGACGGCGCGAAGGTATTCCGAAGGCCGGTTCGCATCCGCGAGCACCGCTGGTATCACATATGTCAAAGCTGGGAGAATCGGGTCGGTCGTTACGCCCTATGGCTCAACGGACATTTGGCGTCGCAAGGTCGCTCGAAAGAGGTAAATCCGGTTATCCGGTCCCCGGGTAAAAATTCGCCTTTAAAATACAGAATTCTAGCACGGATGAATTCGATACTATCTCGATTCGTCACGACACCGTCTCTCTGTCAATTCCCGCCGAATACAATTTTTTCTATACCTCCTTCAATTCGTTCGCCATGCGATGCATATCTTTGTTTAACGGAATAATCGCTTCTTGCAGACAACCGGTCACGTGATCCCGGAAGGCGGCGATATCGTCCTAGGTCAGGAATACACAGACTTCGACAAGGGGCTCGAGGAAGGCATCGAGGGCTCGGTATTGGGCTTCAATCTTCTGCTAGCCTCGGCGTTCAATTCCCTCGACAGTAGCCTTCATCAAAGGCCTTCGTTTTGGTCGGCCGATGAAGCCAACGATCCGGCCGAGATTCCCCTCGCTACGGAAACCCGGATGAGAATAGCGAGACGCGATACGGATCTCGGTACAACGCATGCTCTCGACAGGCTCGTTTCGACTTTATTCTCGCTCAGCCCTAATTGGTCTCGCAGAATTTCTGAAACGGACGATGCGAAAGTGATTGCGGAGGATTCCGCGACCTCGCCGCCGGCGCCAAGTATCGCTAACGACACGCGGAAGGAAGAGCAGACACCGGCGATTCGCAGGCACGCGATCACATTCGGTACCGACGACTGGACCGGAGAAATCGATCCGCTTGAAAGATCGTCGGACGTCCCCTTAGGTTTGCAATTAGTGAAATTGTCCTACGTTCGTTGCCAACTAGGCAGGGGTAGCCCGCCCATAGGCGGTCCACTGATGTTGATTTCCTGGAGCAGGACGCCCGTGAGGGTGTTCGGTGGCGCCATTATAAAGAACGTCGGCAACCAGTGTGGCAAATTCTGAGAGAACTTCCCTCGAGCTATTAAAGTGAGAAGTGTGCAATTGAAGATTGCGGAGAATGAACACGCCGAGTCATGAGACACGAAATTCTTAGAAAATCAAGAATTGCTCTTGTTAAGTCAAAATTATTAAGCTTGAAATTTATCTTTTTAAATTTCTGAATAAAGGAAGTTTATCCAGCTTTTATAAAGAAATTCATAATATTAGAAATTCACAGTATTAATAACAATAATATGTATTTTGAATATGATTCGATGCAAATCTTTTAGTAAATATAATTTTGGATTGTATATAACAAATATAATAAAGCACATTCCACTCATGTCTTCAACTGCATCTGCTCCAGAAGAGTCAATTTCGGACTCTTTATTCCGTAAAATACTGATTGCCATTACGCTTGTTGGGAAGACGTTCTTCTCTTTCTTTAGCGAGCATTTTACTCAAAATCTTCTATTGTTCGCACTATTCGACCAGTGCCATCGTAACAAGCTTAAGACAATCACTAATAGGTATTAAGCGTAAGCAGATTTAATAATGTTGGCTCCATTAATGCATTTGTGGATAAAACTAATTTTCACCGGCGATATTCAACTATCGCGTAACCCGCGTGATTGCGCGAGTTCCAGCCCGCACGTTTATGGTCGCATGCGAGTCTTCCGAGTAGAACCTCTCCTACCCGCAAATCGACGATCCCGTCTCGCGTATCGATCCACGTCGCGCGTTAATTAGTTTCGCAGAATTCCCTCGAACGCAATCGCGACCGCGGAGAAGGGAAGGAGAAATATCCCGCGAAAACCGCGACTCCGGCTTGGCGAAATTGTCGAACGTCAAGGGCGTAGCTAGTTACTGTACATGGTAAGAGCAAGCGAGTCCTAAGAGGATTCGCAAAGCTCGCTGGCTTTTCTTCCTTCGAGTAAAAGAAGAAGATAGTTGGATGGACTAAGTGCATTTATAAGAGAGCGCTTAAAAATTATCTTAATAGTTGTAGGAGCAGTAAAATTTGCATAAAATTTCCATTGTGACTTATCTCAGCATTAAAGTATCTTGGTAGTTAGTATAAAACATTAACATTGCACTATATCAATTAAACCTAACTTTTTTATATTATAAGGAACTGTGCTACATCAGTTTATTTTTCATTTTTGCATCTTATATTAATGTATTGTATACATTACGATATAACAAAGGTGCTCAAAATCTTTGCGATTGTGTTCTGAACACTTGTGTTTAAGAGAGCTCCATTTTTTATTTTATTATGAATCTTTTATTCATATATATTACAACATAGGTATGCAATATATTAATATAAAATGCAAATTATATATTAATTTTACGTTTTATTAATAATTGCGAGCGTCTCATATTTAAATAGCAATCTCTTGCTGTCACATTCACTTAATTCGTGCATATAAATAAAACATAGATTTATAAAAATAAAAAAAAATCGTTCAAATACACGAGTGTTTAGAGCAATCGCAAAAAAGAATTTGAGCACCTTTGAACATCTTGCCGAGTCTACGGACGAGCTCGACACGAACGTTCAACGAATTCTAGCTACGCCACTGCCCGTTCGTTGTCTCTTTGTAAGCAGAGTTTCGACACTGACGTTTCACGGATGCGGATTTTCCGTTGACGTTGATAACGCCGGCGAACGAGCGTGGCGGTGGTGTCTGAGGATCCGGCCGTAAAAGCGCTTTTCCTCCGGGCGAGCCGCGCGCCGCGTGTTGAAATTCCGTTTACGTCTCGCAATCCGGATCGCCGCCGGCGAATAAAACGTGCTGTCGAATAACCGGCGTTACCCTCGTAGCGACACTGGGATGGGCGCGGAATCTGGGATATGCTTTTTTTTGTACATACTAGGACGATAGTGACGAAAATTGGGACATTCGCGTCGAATACACGGAAAGAGAATGATGAATGCTGTTGTATTAACACAACAACATAAGCGAACAGCGATCTAATTGAAAATAATTTTGTTCATTTAGTAATAATATTAATGAAACGAATAACATTTTGTTAAAACCAAATGTATAACGTATTTGTTTCAAATAATATTGACATTGAATTAACAAGTTTGTTTTCAATTAGATGCTGTCGGTTACTGCTGCTATTTCAACATTATTTTTTTTCCGTCTACAGTGAGAACACGGTGTGTGAATGTGTGTAACATGTGCATCTAACTGAAACAATTTTGTTACAGGAATAAAAGTGTCTAGTAAAAGATTACAAGCCGCGTAATGTTCGCGTAATATTCTGCCGAAAGTAGTCGAAGATTTTCCTGTTAAGCCTCAGAAGAAGCTACTTAATTGAAGCTAATATACTTCGAAAAATATTCCTCCCAGCTCTCTTTTTCTATTTACTTTCTAAGTTACGTGTCTATCCTCAAAATGTGACGCGCACATTTTTATGAAGGACAAGTTACCGCTGCGAGATCGCGCGTGCGTACCTAATTAGAAATTACTAATTAGTCTAATTACGCTACCAGTCACCATTGTGTCATACCGTCGTAGGTATACGTAAATTACAAAGCGTACAATGCCAAATAGCTCGGTAACGGGATTGCATAAATAGCATTACATCAACTGCGCGCGATCTTACTATGCGTTTTCTTTCCCGCGTGCCGTGCTTTATTTGGCGAACCTGAAGCGTCCGTTCGCAGATAGCCGCTCATTTGTGCACAGCCTCTTTCGCAAAAGTCTACCTTCGCGAGCCATTTAAAGAGCGCATTACGTTTCGCGACGCGTGCGTCGGAATCAGATGGAAAAAAGGGGAGCGTACACATTGTCTTCTTGATACTTTCGCTACGTGAGACAATGCGGTCCCGAGCATGCATGCCTCTGCTACTTTCATATCTGCGAATTTTATCCGTGTATAACGATATTAGACGCTGAAGGTAGCAGGTATTAATGGTCGAGGGTGCCGGAGTATAATCAAGGCGGTGCAAAAAAACCGAGAAAGAAATCCCTTCATTCACGGTTGATCCTCAAAGGAAAAGGGAGAAGAAAGGAGATAAAAGAAAGCTTAGAAATAAAGAACGCAGAACGCTTCTAAAAGTTAAATAATGGAAATAATTCTAAACCTTATAAGATCCTAAATATTCAAATTAATAGAACATAATGTGATGTATATACGTAAAAGAGAATTATATATCTGATTTTATGTGTACAAGCGAGGAAAAACTTTTGTATTGATTGAGGAATAAAAATTTTGTGACGCGTAAAATTGCAAAGAAAATTATTGCATTACTGCGGTTAATTTTAACCTTTTGCATTGGCTAATTTTGCAAAACGCATTATTTATTAATTATTTATACATTACGCATGAGCCAGCCGATTTGTAATAATAAAGGAATAAACATATTTTTGTAAAATTGCAAAGAAAATTATTGTCTGCATCATTACGTCAATTTTCATCGTTTATATTGGCCAATTTTGCAACTCGCATTATTTATTAATTATGCGCATGGGCCATCCGATTTGTAACGCTAGAGGAATAAACATATTTTTATAAAATTGTTTTTATAAAACAAATTTCTGCATTACTGCATTAATTTCGATCGTTCGCATTGACCAGCGAGTTTTGTAACTCGCAAAATTCATTCATTATGCGCATAAGCTATCAATTTGTAATGATTAAGGAATGACAATGTTTTTGCGTGAAATTGCAAAGACAATTATTTTTGTAGAATTGCAAACAAAATTATTGTCCACATTACGCGTCAATTTCGACCGTTCGCATTGGCCACCAATATGACGAATTTTGCAACTCGCATAATGCATTTATTATGCGCATAAACTGTTATATGTTCCCCGTTTTCCCGATACCCATCCGTCTATGCGAATAAAAGCAAAAGCATAAACGCGCATGATTACTACATCGCGCCGCGGCTATCTCGAATATTTCCGCTCTAGGAGACAATTTCGTTGATTCTCAATTTAATGACAATTGGCAATTTGTATGGCCGATAAGATAATTGTGTCCCCGGTTATCGCGGCAGACGCATTAATGTTTAAGTAGATTGTAGTAATAATCGCGGCTGTAATTGCATTAACGTATTTAAAAGTACGAACGAAACAATTGTAATAAAGTGGTATATAATCGTCGATGTGAGAAAACGTGTGATTGAAATCGCGATTGTTTCGCATTTCTCGAGAGAGCGCCGGTGATCAAATTTACGGGGACGGGGGAATGTTGGCGCTCGTGAAATCAATATGTGTAGAAATTATGTTTCCGGTCAACAACTATTTACGGCCGGTAAATATTTATAAACGTAACGATTATTAAGCAAACTGACCAAGAGCCTCGTTTGAATAATGTAGCGCGTTAATCGCGAATGTGCTTTAGTAGTCCATTAAATAAGAGGATTTGGCCATTGTTCAGATTGTTAATGAATGCCGCTATTAATTCAGGCGCACGCTTGTCAAGACTCTTTTAATCCGTCATGAACAGCGCGGCGTAGCGCATAAATATCGTGTCTATTATAACTCTAGTTTAAGTAGAGTACTTTGCAAAATTATCATTTGAACAATCTTGGTCTTTCCAGACCAAATGGATTTGAATAAATACTATTATATGTAATTGATGAACAGCGAGATTAAAAAAGGTTCTTGTGTGACTGTTTCTTAATTATTTTGTCGATTTCTCATTTGGAGTTTTCACTATTGCAATATTACATGTATTAATTAAACACGATATTACGTGACAGCTTAAAGAATAACAGGAGAAACTAAATTTCTCTATTTCTATAGCGCCCCGAAGAAATGAATGACCCGGCCGTCGAGCGATATGTACGATTATGCAAAATCGTAATTCTTTTCGTTACAACGAATATTGCAATCATTCTCTGCAACTGAAATAACTATCATAAAACGCGTACGCGGCGAAATGACAGGTGTGGTGCGTTACATAAAATCGCGTGCGGTGTATTCGCTCATCCGCATCGCCCGTTAAATCGCATGAATTGTAAGTCTGGCTTTCGGATTATTACAATTGGAGAGATATGAAATTTTGAGACTGACACCTTTTCCAGATTGTTCGGTACTTGAAAACAGATGATACAAAATTAACATGGCAATTTATCGTCTAGTTAAAACAAATTAGCAACAAGCAAATTGCAGAAACATCGAAATTGCGTAAATTAAAAGCTCAATCTTCCCTTTTTTAGCGTATTTTAAATTTACAATTCAAGGCGCAACTTTACGACCTTCTTTAGTGTTATTAACATAAAAGATGAAGTAAAAATTTATTAGAGAAAATTTTAAGAAACACCGCGCGTATAAATAAATCCTGTACACACAATGTATATTTTATGAAAATTAATATTTACATAAAAATTAAAATTAGACACGCCGTGATTCATGCCGCGTCACGTTTTCGTAAGTTTTTCCTGTTTTCTAACTTTCATGATTTGCGCAAATCCTATGGTATACGGTATCGTTATTATGTATATATACGTAAGTATTGTATTTCGTTCGTTTCTCCGGGTCCCCTGATGTCGAATTACGCTTTCACTTTCACCAAAATATCACTCGTATCATGTACAAGATCACGGTAACGAATTCCTCCTGCTATTTCAATGGATAGTAGTGCGTACTTTTTAGTATCACGCAATTATCGCAGGATTAAGAACAAGCTAAGTTTCACCAGGTAATAAATCTTTGCTGAACACTGAAAGAAATTAATCCAAATTTAATAGTCTCATCATTAAAATTGATTGAAAACTGTCCGAAAATTAAAAAAAAATTAGTCTAGATTAGTTTGCAATAAATATCTATTTTTAATTTATTTAATCAAAAATATTATTTGCGGGAAGACACATTTTTAAAAAGTCAAACGTTTATAATTTATATATTATCAGCTGTAAATATCTTATTAAATTTTATGAAAGAAATTAAAGTCCAAATTTAATAATCTCGACATTAAAATTGGCTGCTCAAAATTCCCCAAAAATTATATTAGATCAGTTTGCAGCAAGTATTTCTAATTTATTTTAATCGGAAACATTGTTTACGGAAAGATGTATTTTCGAAAAACTAATAACGTTTACGATTTATATGGGCCATAAATAAACTCGATCGACAATTTAATGACAAAGGAGTAAAATGTCAGTAGACTGACGTAATTCATACAGTATCCAAGGGATAAGCAAGTGATAACCGCATAAACGTAAATCGCTCCGAGCTGTCTTTAATGATGTTGCGCAATGAAAAGAAACGGTTCGAGTCTGACGAACGCGCCGTCGATCGCTTGCAATTAAAATCCGATCATTGCTAATTTATCTCGCGGAATGTACGTGCCGTTGACTTTCATTTTCCGTAAACCTTTGCGCGAATTACATTCCACGGGAAGACCGATTATGTTTTTTTGTCCGAGCACGATTAGTATGCCGTACGAGGTGCCAATTACGTGATTACGCCAACGCCGTACAGATTGAACTAATTGTTATATACGTACAAATAAATTATCGAACCGAAATGTCGACGATACAAGGGCAATATGAGATAAAATTATACAATTCATTTCTGTAGTAATATAAAATATTGAATAATAACGTAAAAGAGAAAATAAAAAATATAAATAAGCGATAAATAACATAATACAGAAAACAGAGATAAGAAAAAATTAGAAATTAATTTGAAACTATAATCTCTAAATTGTAATAATAAACTCTTTAAATTTTTCTTTTCTTATATTTAGCGATTCCAAGAAAGTCTCGTTACAGAGATACTTATGTATTTATCGATCTAAAAATTACTGTACTTTATTGAAACCGCTATTTGTCATATTAAATCCACATCAGCTATAATTTATACATGTCTCCATATCACAGCACTGTTTTAATACACAGTATTAGTAACGTTGGTGAAGAGTATCGGTAAACCGCGTAAATGAATGTATTCGTCGGAAAAGCGCTCGAAAATGATGAAATGTAATTTGTAAAGCTTATAATGATGTAACAGTTTATTCGAGCGGGCTTGATAATTAACGGTTCTGTCCGCGTGGAATTATAAAGGTCCAATTGTAATAACGGAAACGCGCGCGCGAGATGCCACTTTAAACGTATTTCCGAGCGATGACAAAGGGAAATTTAACGTAGATTTTTTTAATTACTATCGCCAACGTAACATCCGCGTGTTTATGGCGTTTGATAAAATTGCCCGCATTCTCCAGCAGCGAGCAGTCACTCTGTGTCTTCTCTCATCGCGTGACGAGTGTACATTTTTGCGACTAGACGTAACACACACACACACACACACACACACACACACACACACACACACCTTTCGTCTTCAGACTATTATTAATATAACTTTTTAACGACGTCGCATTTACTAGCCTATTAAAAACACTCGATTATGAGGTTTACACACTTGTCATGAAAGCGAGTGTGACGATTTGTAATTTGCGGGTATCTGATCGCGCCGTAAAGGCAATAAACAGGCGGACGATAATTATAAAGCGGCGGCAATAAACGTCATTCTGCTCGGACGACAATTACGCTGAAAGTAATCGCCCGACAAAGTAAACGTTGTGACATTTATGGTTGCAAAACTACAGTGTGTATTATATTGTCTCACAATCTCCGTCTATACGAGTAGAACAATATGTGATAAAAATGCGGAAAAAGTAAATTATATATAAATGCGGACAAGAGAAATTATATACGATTACAAGTACTAAAAATTTGTACTGTGTAAATCTGAAAGAAAATAAGCGCTGCCCGTATACACGGCGCCTCGTGAGATCCCTCGAAGAGATCCATCTGGCCGACAAACGGTGCTCAACGAGCTCAAACGGATCCCTCTCGGATATACGGGCGCGTTTCTGCCTCGTAATTACGCGCGCGGCTTACGCGGATCGACTTTCGTTTTCCAGGGTAGGGTCGTCCTTTCGCCGCGCGCGCGTTGGCTTCTTCCGGCCTTCGATAGAGAAAGAGAGAAACCATTTTCGGTGCGGGGACGCACGTCGCGGGTGAGAGCGAGGCGGCGCAGGGGCAGGGGCAGGCGGAGATCTGCATTTTTCTTTTCTCGCAACACCCAATGCATTTCCCGCGACTACACGGTTGAGTTTCCGCTCTGCCCGCAGATAGGCAGATACGAGAGTACATGTACTCGTGCCCCGATAGAGACTTTCTTCTCCCGGCTGGATATCTGCGATCGCGCTTCCGGTAACAACACGGCGCGGAGCTTGAGGCCGTTGAAGATGTAGATAACGGCAACG